ATGCAGCTAACAGAATGTCTGCTTTACCGGTTAAGTGCATTAATGCTGCCGACTTGAATAGTGTGCATCCACGCGACTTAACCCAAGACTCAATTGTAATAACGGCAAGCGATAGCGGAAACACGCCCGAAATTATTGAAGCTGCTAAATGGTTGATTAAAGCTAATATTCGCTTAATTGCATTTACGAAAAAAAGCGGTGAGCTTGGTGGGCTAGCACCAAATGTTATTGAAGTTAATGGCTCTACCGGGGCAGGGCAAAATTATTACATGGCAGAAGCAATGTTAATTTATCGCTTACTATACAAGCACGGTGATTTCGCAGGATACCCTAAATTTGCTGATCAACTAAAAGGTGTATTCAAGGATTTATTGGCAATTCGTAAAAAGTTTGAACCTAAAGCCGATAAGATTGCTCAAAAATGTTACCAAGCACCGTACACGATTTTTACAGGTTCTGGCGCACTTTGGGGAGAAACCGAATTATTTGCTGAATGTCTTCTTGAAGAAATGCAATGGATTAGGACTCGTCCAATTACTAGTGCCAAGTTTTTCCACGGAACACTTGAACTGGTCGAAAAAGGTGTACCAGTCTTTATCGTTGAAGGTGAAGATGAATTTAGAAGCAAGATGTTCGGTGCAACGTTTTTGTGAAAAGATTGGCGCAGAACATTATGTGATTGACACGAAGGAATACAGTCTGAGTGTTGATGACGAATTTCGTCCACTAGTAATTCCATGGATTGTAAATTCACTGTTAACTGATCGGTTAACCAATCATTATCAGGTTTACACAAAGCACAATAAAAATTACAGAAGATATTATCGTCAATTCGAGTACTAATTTTACTGGTGATTGGCAGAGGGCGGGATACAATGTATCCCGTTTACTTATTAAGCTAGATTAGGAGTATTAATCATGGAAATGCTTGATTATGTGAAAGTGACACCAGCTAAATTAAAAGAGAATATAGCTGATAAGAACAGTTTAGTTTCTCCATTAGTCAATCTTTTTTTAAGCAGAAAAATGGAAGCGTTACCATAGTGGCCTCGGGGTCATCTTTTAACGCGGTAATGATGTCTAAACC